TTTTTCCCCTATCTATATTGGTTCTTCTAGAAGAAATATCATGGGAAAAAGGGTCCTCTGCTTTGTTAGTTCTCAATGGTGTTCTCTACTGTTGTACATAACTTAGATCGATGCTTGTTATGTATACTCTATAGAAGCAAACCAGGAAAAGATAGTTGAGGCTGGTGGTCTCTCTTCATTGCTGATGCTCCTTAGAACTTATGAGGATGAAATGATATGTAGAATTGCAACTGGTGCATTTGCTAATTTTGCAATGAATGGTACCTTCTAATAGTAGTTCATTTGTTTTATTTTGTCTCACTCTTGCTATGAACTGCTTGTTATGTTATTATATCTTTTTGCAAAGGCCAATCAAGAGATCATAATAGCCCAAGCTGGAATATGTCTTTTAGAAACAACGGCTACCGATGCTGAAGACCCTCAGACTCTAAGAATGGTTGCTGGAGCACTTGCATAAATATCCAGCAATTCTTAATTTATGCGGCAATCATTTACTTTCACGTAAATGTTACCTGCTTCGTTTGTATTTTCAAGAATTTACTTGCATTCGTCCGTCTAATAAAGTAATAATACACTTAAATGGCAGGACCGAGAGAAGGTCGATATCTGTTGATAGAAGTGGTGCTTTGCCATGGATATAGCACAACATGGTAATATACTGATTCGACTAGGGATAATTTGCAAATTCATCCCTATATTTTATCTAAATCCGTATTTTAACTCAATTATAGGCTAATATTGAGCCGGCTGTGCATGCAGGGGCAGAGCCACCATGGGCTAGGGTGGGCTCCAGCCCCAGGTAAATTAAAAAAATAAAAAAAATTACTTTATATTTTAGAGTATTCTTGTATATAGCCCCATGTATATATATGTTAATCCCATTATTTGAATTTGCCCAATAACATAAGCCCAACAAATTTTTAAGTTAGTCCAACAATAAAAGCCCAAAATATTAAAATCCATTACCTTCCTTCTATCCCAAGTCCCAATTCATCCATTAATTAGTCTTCTTCATTATTAATTAAAAGTTAAAAAGGCCAAAAAAAAAAAAAAATCTCACAATCAAGAAAACAAAGCACAACTTTAGCATTTCTTATTTTATTTGTAGCTCAATGTAAATATTAGTCTAGCTCAATTTAGCTCATATGTTTTTAGGAAGAAACTCAATAATTTATTATTTTTTCATTCTCAAAAGTAGAAGATGTTTGGAACCTTTTTTTTATTAAAAAAAAGGCACAAATTATTGCTTATTCTAATTTTATTTTACAAATTTGTAAGAAGATTGTATAATGTTTGTTTTAATATTGCAATGAAGATATTTCTTATGTTTTGTAATGATCAAGAGTTAATATGAATTGATTTGTGAGAAAAAAATTAGAAATATACTTAGTTTGAATTTATGCACACAACTTGTGATGAAAGCACAACTAAATATTTGAGATAATATAATTTAAATTTGTATAGGCTAAGAATTGAATATTTGGACATGATATAAGTCTCTATATCTTTTTTTTATAGTTTTTTCTTATTTTTGTTTTCTTTCTTATTTTGGTTAAATCATATTGAATCATTTTATTTAAAATAATATTGGTTATTTATGTAATTTATATTACATTACATATGGAATATATCAATTATTCTATAATTTAATTTTATATATTTTGTTTCTTCTAGAATTTCAATAGAATATTTATTTTGTGATTGAACTTATGGATTTTAATAATTTATTTTTGACATTTATTGGATTTTTAAAATATACTTTCATTCATTTAATTTTGTAATTTATGTAAGTTGTATTGAATATTAAAAACAATTATTTTCATACATTGATTTCTTTATGCTTGGCATCTAGCTAAGATGTTATTCGAGTCGAGCTAAGTCGGATATCTCATGTTCGACTTGTGATTATTTAATAAACAAACTTGATTAGATTTTCGAGCTTAGCCTTTTGAAGTATGAAATAGTTCATGAGTTCGAGCTTTCACGAGCCGAAATGAGTTGTGTTCGTGAATAGTTTGATTCGAATAATAACTCAATGTTAAGCAGCCCCAGATAAAAAACATTTCTGGCTACGCCCCTATGTGCATGCACAGCCGTGAGCCGACAAATGGTGATATGAGGACCAGCAATGAAAGCCCCAAGTTCTATAAGGCAGCTGATGTTTAAATGAGGGAATTCATATTAACGTTGAAACGAGAGGAAAGGGAGGCCGGGGTCACCTGAGAAGCATGAGAATGCATTCAAGTCATAGATTATTGAAAGTATACTCGACTATCGCCTGTTTGAGAACCCTAATGCGGTTGAGACAATTCATCTTCATACTTTCNGCATATAAAAAATATTCAGACAATGAAAATGATAATTTACATGTTCAGCAAATTATGCACTCATTAAAGATTAAATTTGAGTCGACTGTACGTGTACAACTGATAGACCACTAACCTTAATATAAAAAATATTAAATTTGAGTCGACGTGTACAGCCGATAGACCACTAGTCCTAATATAAAAATTAATGTGATGGGTAGTCATCCGTACGGTGGGATGAACAAACTAGCTGAATTGATGACTTCTTTTATTATTATTATTATTATATATTCTTTTGTTTTTAATGGCGTGACCACTTATCAAGTCACGGATAAAGATGGTCCAAGAGAAATCCCCGGGACACGTTGGCACCCTTTGATTTTCCACAAACCAAACACAAAAAATAAAGAAAAAAATTATGTCCGTGTCGTGGAGCGATCTAATTGGCTGCGGACCCACGCAGCTCTCAAAAGTTTTAAAAAAATATTAATTAATTCCAGAACATAAAGAAAAAAATCCGAACCCCATTTTAGTTCACCGAAAGGGACAGCTCAGCGAAGAATTTTGCAGAGCGGACACCTGGCTCAAACACGTGCCCCTCGTGTGGGTCCCATGACACCAAGTAAATATGCCATTGATTGAAAGGGTAATTGTTATTTTAGTATGGGATAATTGTGATTTTGGTACATATTCTTTATTTATTACGAAAATAAAACTTGATCTCGCAATAAAACCTGATCTTTACGTTTTTACAAATTTAGTACCTAGTATTGACGTCGGTTTGCATGATTTTACGTTTTAGACTCGTTTGGGCTCGTTCGAACTCGGAATTGTGTTCCGTTTTTTTCTACGCGACGCCAACGAACACCTATATTCAATGATGCTTGTATGAGCAAATTATTCTTGAAATATTATTTTCCCAAAGTTTATGATCAGCCACCAAAGACGTGGTTCGCGCGACTTCGCGTTTTGGGCCCGTTCGAGCTCGTCCAAACATGGAATTGAGTTCCGATTTTTTCTACATGTCGCCAACAAACCTTTTTACTCAACCATGGTTGCCGGTCAATTTTTGGGCCAAATTTATTCTTCACGGGGCTTCCAACCTGCACAATAAAAACAAGAAGAAAAACAAAAAAAACACACGACACAATAAACTACAAAAACGAATAAAACCCAACGAAAAGTTGTAAAACGGGGAAAAAATAGGTTAGGCCACGGCAAGCAAGAATTTGAGATATTAGTGTGGGGTGTCTAACTGCAAGACAGGTGCTATATAAATAAAAATATTTTTTTATATTACAGATGTTAGGTTTTTTAAAATATAAATATTTAATAAAAATATACACAAAATATTAGACAGATATGTTTCTTCAAATAGATAAACATACATTTAGATTGAAATATTATACTCTATAAGATAACATAAACGAAAATATAATATTTCATCATATTTAAAAAAATTACATTGTTCACCTATACATTCTTTTTATTTTTTCTAAAATAGTAAATATACTAATTTTTATGGTTTATGATGATGTCTTTTTTCTATTAAAGTTCTAAATTGTACTATAGGTTTTTAATTTATTACTCCGATGACTTTATTTAACATATAAAAAAAAATAAAAATGTAGCAACACAGGGCCTAACATAATTAAGTATTTTATTAAGGTACTTTTCCTAGGCTCATAGCACATAACAATTTGTGAAAAATAAATATCTTTTTCTTGAACAGGGGACTCGTCTCTGGCTGACACGTTAGTGCGTTTTACTTTTCATAGGGTACTTTTTTAGCTTATTTTTTTCTGGTGGGTGTTGAAAAAAAAAAATCTTATCTTTTTCACCATATGTGTGTGGTGTTGGTGTGGACTCGGCTTGTTTTATTTTTTCAAACTTTATGAATGAAAAAAGAAACTGATAGGTGTCCCTCTTGGTGCAGTTTCTTTTCATTTTCATTTTTTTTTTTTGGGGTTTTTGTTTTTATTTCTTGTTTGTTTGACTTTGGGCATGTATCTATGCGGTGACGCGTGGTGATTAAAGATGGGATTTTTAACACTTGGAGGTGAAGGGTAGTGTAAAGGGGGAACCTTTTCAAATCTAGAGGTACTGTCTGTGAGGTTCCTTATTTTATTTTATTTAGTATTTTCCATTCTTTTTCTGGGATGTTCAGAGCTTGGTGAGTCATGGGATTTTCTTTGTGACTTGTAAGTTTCCCATTGAAGATATTTTCCCCATTGCGTGTGTGTGTTTCTTTTTTCTTTCTTTATTTATTCTTTTGGGTGTTGATAAATCAGATGGTAGCGAGTTTGTTGAGCTGGTTATGAATGTAACCTCTTGAGTTCTTGTCTTGAAATGGGAATTATTGATGAGTTGTAGATAGTAAAAGAATGTTCTTGAGAATTTTCCTTGCTTGAATATTTGGATACTGATTCCCTTTTAATGGAAGCTCAGATTTGTGTTCCTCCAATTAATTCGGTACCCCCTTTCCCCCCATCTATTTCTGCTTCTTTTATGTCATTGATTTTACTGCAGTTGAGTTGTGCAAATTTTCTCTCTCTTTTTTCCTTTTATTTTCTTTTTGGCTCTCCTGATTTTATCTGAACCATTTTATGTGAATTAGGGCTACATTTCATTTGGGAAGCAGACTTTGCAGATAGATCTCTTGTGGAAATTTTATTTTACACATAAAACTAATTGATGGATGAATTTTCCTCCCTAATAAGTCTGCCGTTTAAGCTGGGAAATTTGATTACTGAAGACTCGATAACTCTTTTTCCCAAGCCATCCATGACGAAGCTGCCTCTACTTCCCGCCTTTACCTTTGAGAATAAAAATTCCAACTTTAGTATCCCACTGAGTGGATTTGTGAAAATCGAGTCGAAATTTGATAAGTCTGAAAATGGTGAAGATAATTTCTTGGTAGGTGTTAAAGAAAGTGGTAGCTGTATAATCTTTAGTAATGCATTTGACAAGAAAATCGAGGAAGATGATCAAACGGGCCTCATGAGCCGCCCGTTAGCAGCCATTGTAGATTCTCATTACACAATGGATGATGCTAAAAGTTTTGGATTTGAAAAGAATCACTTTGATGAGATTGAGAATGGCACCATTAATCGTAACATCATCAAGAAATCGGATTCGTGGGTGTCGACAATTTCATCCGAGGTAGTCGAGGATCTTTCTGTGGAAAAAACTCGTGAGTCTGTTCCTAAACGAACATTCTCAGCCTCCTTAGTCGAGGTCTCGCAAGAAAAGGAGATGATTAAGCATAATCTTTCTCTAAATGCTCCGCCACTTTGGGGCTCGATTTCTATCTGCGGAAGGAGGGCAGAAATGGAAGATTCAATTGTGGCTCTACCGAGATTTCTCAGCATCCCTGCTTTTATGTTGAGCGAAAGACCGGTTTTCACTTCTGTGTGTAATGATTTAACGGGCCATGTTTTCGGTGTTTATGACGGGCATGGAGGTTACCAGGTAAAGACAATAANGATGAGGTTCGTGCAGCCAAAGAGAAATTGTCTGTTGAGTTTGGTGTCAACTGTAGCTTGAATGAGCAATGGCTCGAGATATTCCGTAACTGTTTTCGGAAATTGGATGACGAGGTCGGAGGATTTTCTCGAGATAATGTGGAAAAAAACCTCGATTTTCCGGTTTTTCCAATTGCACCGGATTCTGTGGGGTCCACAGCGGTGGTTGCGATTGTCTGCAACTCGCATATTATTGTGGCGAATTGTGGTGATTCGAGGGCGGTTTTGAACCGGGGCAAAGTGTCTGTGCCGTTGTCAGTTGACCATAGGGTGAGGATTTTGGATTTTTTTTTTCTCCAGTTGGTCGAAATTTATGAAGTAATATATCTAATTTTTTCTGATTTGCAGCCAAATAGAGGAGATGAGTGTGCAAGGATAGAAGGTCTTGGGGGGAAAGTCATTAATTGGGACGGGCATCGAGTTTCGGGGGTCCTTGCTGTGTCGAGATCCATTGGTGAGTTTATTTTTTAACATAGGCTATGTTTGGTAAACCTAGATGATAAGCTAGTTTGATAAGTTAGGTGATAGCTTATAAGTTAATTTTGAAGCTATAATTGATAGCTTACGACTTATGGCTGAAAAGATAGCTTATATGGTAAAATTTGCTTTACACACGTGCGAATTAGCCTTTTTGCATGACAAATTTGCTTTTGTTTCCAGTAATTTTTTTTTTGCCCTTATAAATATATTGTGTCCATATATTTATGCAGGTGATAGATACTTGAGGCCTTATGTGATTGCTGACCCAGAACTAATGATAGTCCCTCGAACAAAAGAAGACGAGTGCCTCATTCTAGCTAGCGATGGCCTATGGGATGTTATGACGAATAACGAGGCTTGTGATCTGGCCCGAAAGCGGATTTTACTCTGGCACAAGAAAAACGGGCCTACTCTCCCGAAAGAACGAGGGCACGGTGTTGATCCCGCGGCCCACGATGCGGCTGATTACCTCTCTCGTGTTGGTTTACAAAGGGGGAGCCGAGACAATATCTCGGTTGTCGTGGTAGATTTGAAAGCGCAAAGGAAATTCAAAAGGAAGATGTGAACTAGTTGCAAGATGTGCGAAAAACTTTTCGTGTGTTACTCGGTTTTCCTCGTGTAATTTTTTTTTTCTTTTTAATTTGGAGGGTGAATTAACAGAGGGTTTGCAGCTAATGCAGTGAAAGAGATGCCTTTTATTAGTTTCTTTGGCATCCCTAAAATAAGGGATCATGTTGTTAACTGGAAAAAAGGTGGTTTTGTAATTGTGAACCAATTTGTTGATTAAGACTAATTGTATCTCTTAGCAATTGTAATTTGGTTTCTCATGCTTGAGTTGGTTCTACTAGTAATTGGATATGGTGCTGTGGATTTTGATTAATGTTGTTCAAAAGTGTGATCACATTTTATAAAATTATAAAGAAAAAAAAAATGGATGGTAGAAAAAAAAATGAAGAAAAACTGAATCCTATATGGCATAATATTGTTTTGTGAGACTGTATTATAGATGAAACATAAAAGTTTCGCTATGAGATGAATCGACTTTTCATACTTTTTTGCTATGAGATGAATCGACTTGTCATACTTTTTCGAATATACCTTCATATTTGTACTATCAATGTCGTGTTTATGACGATCGAAATTGCATATTTATGTTATCAATGTCACGCTCCTAATTTTTATGATATATAAAGTATAAAATATGCATATTTGTTAGCAAAAAAACACGGCCATCTAATGATTAGACACTCATCATATCATATATTCAAGTGAATCGCATACATAAGCTCCTAATTATTATGATATATAAAGTACTCCCTCCTATTTTTTTTTTTTTAAATGTCATTTTGACTTTATCAACAATTTACTAAATAAATATCATTTTAGATCTTTTATACATATTTTTTTATTATTACCCCATCTAGCTAATAAATACACTACGTCTTTTCATATTCAACTCTTCATCTTTTCTCAAAATATCCATCTTTATTTTATTAATGAGGGTTATTATTGACAAAAAAATGATTCTTAATTACTGTACAACTTCTCAAAACGACATTTATTAAAAATAAGAAGGAGTATAAAATATGCATATTTGTTAGCAAAAAAACACGGCCATCTAATGATTAGACACTCATCATATATTCAAGTGAACCGCATACATAAGCTTCACTAACCCTTCAGTCTGACCAAGGCAAAACCAAATTATAACGTTCATAAACAGACAACACTTGTAAAACAAGACACAGAACTTGGATACATATAAATATCATATTCCAGATACTTGTAGACGAAAGAGCCTGAAATAGAATTTCTTTTTTCAAGCCAAATTGTCAAATAGTAGCATCTCCAAGCAAAGTGCAAGCATCTTGTGATGCACAAAAAGGAGATACTTTTCGAGCCGTGCAAAATGCAAAGAGTGTACTCAAAAATCTTTTTGAAAACTGGCCTGGGCTAACCTATTGACACCAGTAATATGTTGCCTTAGCTCACAACCTGCAGATATGAACAAAACAACTAGAATACATTTTAACTTTGCTCAAGATTCTACATATGAATTTTGTCAATTTCACAAAATTTTCGAGGTAAAAATGTAAGATTAACATTTTAAACCATGATGTCAAGCTATGTGTATAAAAACCTTGATTAAAGGGCAGTCAATGAAGGTCCTGCACCGGTGAAGTACAATGCAAGATCAACATCATTGTACTTGGTGATGAAAGGGTGTGCCTGAATACTAAAAATATTAGTCGAAAAGTGATCAATGAACTGAATTTAAATTCAAATTTGAAATATTGCAAGTACCATAAGTTCGTTTGCCGACAATCTGTCTTTTGGATCCTTTTGCACACTGGAAAAAAAGTCGAAAAATGCATACAAGATCAATCACATGCGAAACCAAGAAATCAAGCTAACAAGTAGAGCAAAAATCTATATGAGCAAAAATTTTCAAGTATGACCACAAATATTAGACCTGGTTACACTTGAACATAATTTCTTCATTGTTTGCTTAAAAGAATTGCAACCCCATCATTTCTTTTACAGTAAAATACTCCCTCCTATTCTTTAAATGTCGTTTTGTGCTTTAGCACATAAATTAAGATTTTTTTCTTGCCAATATTAGCCTTAGTTAAAGCAGATTAACATTAATCATTTTCTTTCTTTTCAGCTTTTTTATGTTCTTTTAAGAGAAAAAACTCATCGTATTCCACAACTTTCCTCCCAAACCGTGTAGTGTATTAGTTAATGAAGGTAACAATGGAAAAATATGTATAAAAGATCCAAAACGTCATTTATTTGATTAATGGTCAATAAAGCCAAAGTGACAAATAAAAAGAATAGGAGGGAGTAGCAATTACTATTGTCGAGGATCAAAGAGGCACTAAAACTAGCCTAAATTGTTATCATTTTAGTATATGATTAACTATACTATAAGGGACTGCACAAGCAAACCGGCTTAGAGTGAGTGCAGTACCAAGCAGAAATAAACGAACAGAACTCGGGAGAAAACTGATCGGGAGGTGCACGAGGTGCTGGTTGGTCAACAATAGTCTCCATCAGCTCATAGACATTGACCCAACCACTTGGCTGTGGTGAGGAATATGGGAAATTTCCTGTTGCGCACTCTAGGAGAACTAAACCAAGGCTCCAGATGTCACTACTAAAACCATATTTCCCCCCAATAATTCTTTCGGGCTGCAAACAAGAAACACAAAAAGGTTATGAATACAAAACTCTTTGTAAGGCAGAAATAAGGTATGTGTTTGTTCAAGAATATTAGTTTTCGGGAAATAATGATAAGAATAATAATAATGATACTCACAGACATGTAATTGTACGTGCCAACAAAGGTATTAGCAAGACCAGACGTATTGGCCAGTATTGCACTGACACCAAAATCGGTGATCTTGACTTCACCCGTGTGGTTTATTAGCAAATTCGAAGGTTTTAAGTCCCTGTGGATAATATGTTTTTCGTGATGAAGATACCACAAGCCTTTGAGAACCTATAAAAACGATCGAGAGTTGAGAGAAAATTTCGTCGAGAGAATATGGAGAAAAGATGCATGCATGTATTGTCACCTGTTTAAAAATTGCAGCAAGATACGGCTCTGGAATCAAATGAACTTTCTTTAGGAAATCGGCAAGAGAACCGCCATCCATATACTCGAGTATTATCGAGATTGCACCATTATCATAAAAAGACTGATAGCAAACCACAACGTAGGGGCATTGAGAGGACTGATTGATTTTCAGTTCTTGTGCAATATGCTTGCGAGCAGACTCTTCAATATTCATTTGAATAACCTGGAATTATTTGTATTCAGAATATATTAATGTCTATGGTCTTCATCAGGCACACTCTACTATTCTAACTTCCTTCAAGGATTTGAGATAATAAAAATGCATTTGAGGATAAGAGGGTGAAAAAAACAGATGTAGGATTAGTAAACAAAGATTAGACAAATATTACAAAATTGTTTGGCAACCAATCAATTACAAAAAGTCAATGTCGCTGTCAGAGGTAAATGGAGGTAAAAGAGGAAAGAAGGCCGATACCTTAAGAGCGAAAAATTGTCCGGTCCATTTATGTTGCACCAAACGCACAACACCTCCATTTCCCTTCCCAATAACTTGAACTGCATCGAAGTCAGCTAAGCTCAACTGGTTATCTGATGGTTGTATCAAAGCTGGCTGAAACACATTACAAGCATGAGGACCAAATGCAGACTACATCTCGGTGAATATAAATCTTATTTTCACACAGAAAGACTTAACCTGCTCGAATAAATGTCATATTCATACTGAATGTACTTATTCCTAACGTCGAGCATAAATTTAGAGAGAGAGTGAGAGAGAGAGAGGGAGAGAGAGAGAGAGAGAGAGGGGAGCTCTTGCCTACTTTACCTTTTGCTATTAAACACGGCCCTTTTGGAAAGTTATGAACATATCAACAAAATTATATAAAACTTAGCTAAGTTTAACCCACCAATCTAAAAATATCACACATCAGAATTCCATATTGGAACACATTCATTAACAGGGGAGCTGTTAATGAACAATTGATCCCCAATGCAAAAACCATGAAATTGCAGCCAAAAATCACAAGACCCAAGAACAGAAATTTAAAGAAATCAACCAAAATAGTATTCTTACAGTTTCAACTTCACCCTGGGACACAATCCGGACACCGTCCCGATTAACCAAGAGATCGCCATCCTTGAACGTACCTGACCCGGTTCTGCACACACCCAATATCGAAAACCCAAATCACAAATGAGAACAAAAACAAAAACCCTCATGAGCAACAACCTAAAAACACACAAAATTTGCTCCACGAGAAATGTAAATCAAATTAGGGGGAAAATTAAGTACAGGAATTTGGAGATCTCTTCAGGAGGAGGCAGAGATAGCGTCAGATTAGGCGCTAATGCCCCTTTCTTCATATTTCTCTCTTCACCCCTTTTAGCTGGGTCTGCCCTTTTTCTCTTCGAGTTGAAAAGAGCTGTCAAAAGGGTTGAAAAGAAATGACCCAAAAAGAACAGAACAGTCCTANAAAAAAAAAAAAAACAGTTTTTGCTCACAGAACAGAACTTCTCATCGTACCTAAAAATATGAATATTCTAGCTTTAGCTTTTTAAAGATGGGATAATGAAACAAGACAAGAGCATGCCTACATAGAAGACGAGTGTGATTTGGGGTGTGAGAAAAAGGGAGAAAGGAGGAGGAAAGTGGTAAAGTGGACACCTTTCACTTCAAAATTTTCAACTCGAGTGTGTTTAGTTTATTTCTTGGCAAATTTGATATCTGCAGTCTTTACTTTAACCCGCGCCCGCCAATCCCTCTCATTTTTCTGTTGTCTTTTTCTAGTCTCTATAATTTATTACTTTTTTTTTTACTAGATTATTGGTGTTTATTCCTTTTAATTTTCTCCTAAAATTTTACTTGGTAGAAGTAAGTAAATTTTCATCATAAATGGCTAGTTAGTTGCCTCTCATGGACTTTGATGTGTTCAATTAAACTTTTTGCTATATGTTTTGCAGTTTATATTCTCATATAAATGCGTGGCAAAGAAGTTCATTTTACACTTTTATTTTGATTAAATGTGATTTGTGCAATAATTTAATAAGCAAGTGGTAACACTTCCGGTTCGAGAAATCGCAGTTGAGCTAGACTAGCTAATAGTTGACTCGATTTTTTTTTTTTTTCCAAACATCAAATATTATATATCACAAATACTGAAATGTACAAATCGATAGCCAAATGGCCCCAAATACACCCCTGCCAAGCAAGTTAGGACGAGGTACAATGGGGGATCGCTCGAAATTCAAGCTACCCTAAGAGACCAGGCACGATCATAACACAAACAGAAATAGTTGACTCGATTTGCTAGCTATTCAATTGAAACTCTGTGTTTATGTAAACAAAAAGTCCCCCAGCTTTGAATTGTGAATTGACAATTTTCCATTGTACATTTCAAATCAATATTTTAACTTACGGTTTATACTTTAAAATCGCAATTTCATGAACTCGCAACGATTTACCCTTCGGATGCTAGAGATAGTGATGTAGAGCGTATGTATGAACGGATAGAACATGATCAATTCTCAAGAGAAATCTCAAATTTCATAAAATCAAGTCTGCCCTCTCCAAAGAGAAGACGATTATTCATATACATCAGATTATTGCCCTATTGCAAAAGCCCATTAACAAAAGGCCCAACAACTGAAAATTATAGTAATAGCCCAACACTAAATAAAAGACTGAAAATGACACTTAAACACGCTAGATACGAAGACGGTCATATTTATTTAAAAATGCTATCGCGGTCTCGTCTCCATCATCCTCCCCCGGTTGAGAAGGATTCGGCCGCAAATCCGAATCGGTCTCGTCTGCGTCCCAATTATCCCCCGCAAATGGCACCAAATGCTTGACGATAAACACGTCAGAAGTGCAAATGTGAGACGGAAGGCGAAGACGATAAGCATTGGGATTGATTTTCTGAACAATTTCCATCGGGCCAATTTTTCGGGCGGACAGTTTATTAAGCTCGTGAGCAGGAAACCTATCCTTAGCTAAAACAGCCCAAACAAAATCACCTACCTCAAACTCGACGTGCCGACGATGAGCATCGGCGGCCCTCTTGTACGCCGCAGTAGTCGACTCCAGGCGAGCCCGTGTCGCGGCGTGAGTCTCCAGCAGGTCTGCCACAAGGTCCGTCGCCCGTCGGTCTGCCCCGCCGGAATGTGGCAACGGCGCCAAGGCACACGGCCCACGCGGCTGCACAACATACACAATCTGGAAAGGCGAGAGGCCCGTGGCCCGACCAACTGCCGAGTTATGAGCGAACTCAGCTTGACACAAACGTTGCTCCCAAGTACGAGTATTATCCCCCACCAAGCAACGTAGCAAATTCCCCAGTGAGCGATTAACCACCTCCGTTTGGTCGTCTGTCTGAGGGTGATAAGCACTGCTGAAATCGAGATGGGTGTCTACCATACGCCACAAGCTCCTCCAAAAATAACTCAAAATCGAGTATCGCGGTTTGACACAATAGCCGAAGGCAATCCATGAAGACAGTAAATCTCCCTGAAAAACAACTGGGCCACATGAACAGCATCGGTGGTGCGCTTGCATAGAATGAAGTGTACCATCTTCGAAAAACGATCGACCACCACAAAAATAGAGTCAAAGCTCCGTTGGGTACGAGACAACCCTAATACAAAGTCCATGCTAATCGACTGCCATGGCTGGGATGGAGTCGGGAGTGGCCGGTACAAGCCCGCGTTAGTCGCGACGCCCTTGGACACCTGGCAAATCCGACAACGTGCAACAAAACGGCCCACACCACGCCGAAGGGACGGCCAAAAATAACTTCGACTAACCAGCTCCATGGACCTATCACGGCCCACGTGACCTGCAATCTGGGATAAGCTTATGGCGAAGACTGCAATCTGGGATACAAAGACGAACACCACGGAAAATGAAGCCATCTGACAAGGTATAGTCCTCGTAAGGCCCGACACGTAAACGAGCCAAAATCGGGCCAAAGAATGGATCCCCCACGTACACGTCCCGCAAAACATCAAAACCCACAACCGAGACACGCATCTCGGACAGCAAAAGTGTTAGAGTAGGGTACCCGGCGTTCCAATCTAATTGGACGTATTCTACTTGTAAATACAGTCTATTGGAATTATATTATGAATAAGGCATTTCTTTATCTTAAGAGAAAGCATTTATCTTATAATTGCACTTAAGATAAAACCCCTAGATCACTTATGGTTATAAGGTATGGTTGCGCATAGAGATGGTGATCATGGAATATACCTTGAAAGCCGTGATCTTAAATACAGTTCCAAGTCGATGGATGTTTCGAGATGGGATATCGAATAATCCATAAAAGACTTGCACATAGTTTGTATGCTTGTTGGACAAGAATGTTGCATTCCATCAACATTAGCGTAAGACGTAAGTACATTTATGTGGGTGCTTGTTAGAGAACAAGTTCACTGAACATGACCGTATGAAAATTCTTAATGAAGAATTTATTCAGTCGAATAAGAATTTTCATGTTACAATAGTACATGACTAATCCTAAGACTTGAGGCACAATGGTAACTTTGTGCATATTACATTCTACTTTGATTTATCCTTTTGGTAGCTAGCACTATCGTTTAAAGGGATAAGTTGGGTATTATGTTAATATGTATGGAAGTTTGTTAGTGGCCAATAAAGGATTCGACACTTATGAAGATAAGTGAATTTCCTATGTGTTTCATAGTTATTAATCCAAAGTCCTTGGCCAAGGCAGAGATGAATAGTGATTCATAACCGGGTTAATAAACATGAAATAGAATCATAGTTATTAAGTCAATTTGGGTTTCGACAAAATCATACCCAAGACTTAATCGGGAAATTAGATGTCGAAAGGATTTTACATGTATGGAGTTGTAATCGGAATAGGTTTACTCGCTATTCACTTAATACTAGATTCATGATACTTGCTAGGTGTTACCATGATATGTGGGTTCATGAATTAAGGGGTTAATTCTTGAATAAGAGTTAATAAGATTTAACTCAAATTACAAAGTGTTGTAAACCCACTACTAGTATTAATAGTGAACCTAAAAGGTCACACTAATTATGAACAAAGGTAAAGATTGTATTTCTAATGGTTAGAATTAATTGATAAATATCTAATTTGATTAGATGTCAATTAAAGGAATATATTAATCAATAAGATTGATTAATTACATTTTGGATATTACTTTAGTAATTAAAGTAATTACTAAATTAATAAAGTTGAATTTTAAAATAGGATTTTAAATTTCAAATCCAAAATAATAATAATATGATTATTATAATATGGATGAAAATTGGGAAATGAATATAATAATAAAGTCTTGGAATAGATTCTCAAGATTTATTATTATATTATTATTTTTATCTTTAAATATGATTTAAGGATTAAAATAATAAAATGAATATAATAAATGGTGGTTAGATGGTTGTTTGAACTACTTAACATTGTTTATTATATATAAAGTCAATAGTTAGTAATATGATTTTTAAATAAAATCAGATTTTATTTAATATTACTAAATATTGATTATTTTATGCTAAAATGTTTAGTATAAATAGATGCAAAATGTTTGCAAATTATGCTAAGTGATTTTGTGAGAAATTCAAAGAGAGAAGAAAGTGTTCTTCATATATTTCAAGAAAGTGTTCTTGGAAATTCCCAAATTATATATATATATATATATATATATTCCTATACGAGAAAACCGAGACATTCCTACTAGCGAAGGAAGGTAGTCGGAACCGGGCTTCATAGGGTGGATACGATTAGAGGGAAGACACTTGGATTCCTCAAGCGAGTAACCTCAATCCGTTGACGTTACAAACCGGGAACCGATTCCCACAATCCACTTCGGTTAAATTGAAGGAGTTCAAGAACTACTCGGTAAATACTATTTATTTGTATTTGTATTTACTTTATTATAACAAATCAAAATTTGTATGTGATGCATGTTTTAAAGATGACGATCAGTTAATTCGGAATTAGTATGTACGGGTGTTGTATTTATTCGATAAATACTTACTTTGAAAAATTTTAAATTCCGCTGCTTAAAGCCCGTACGGTACTATCGAACCCAACAAAAAGTGCACGTCGACTCAATGCATCGGCAACTCGATTGGAAGCACCCGACCGATGGCGTAAGACGAAAGTGAACTGCTGTAGAAAAGCAGTCCAGGAAGCATGTCTTGTCGAGATGTTATCCTGCGAGGCTAAATGGCGAAGCGCCTCATGGTCCGTGTACAGCACGAACTCTCTATGAAAGAGATAATGACGCCAATGGCGAACCGCACGCACCACAGCATAAAATTCAACATCATAAGTACTGTACCTCAACCTCAAGCCATATAGCTTCTCGCTGAAGAAGGAGACCGGACGCCCATCCTGGCTAAGGACCGCCCCTATCCCTACTTTCGAGGCGTCACAGGATAGCTCGAACGGGCGAGAAAAATCCGGTAAGGCAAGCACCAGAGCCGATGTCAATTTGGTCTTAATAAGAGCAAAGGCCTCGGCGGCTGCCTGTGTCCAGGTAAAAGCCTTCCCTGTGAGGCAGTCAGTGATTGGGGCCATGACAGAACTGAAGTGGGAAATGAACCGTCTATAGAACGAGGCTAGCCCGTGAAAACTGCGAGCCTTTGTGAACGTAGTCGGTGTCGGCCAATCCCGCACGGCCGCCACCTTACTCTCATCAACCCGAATACCTTCTGTCGAAATAAGAAAGCCCAAAAAGAGGACGGAGTCGACCATGAAGAAACACTTATGCGGCGCAACAAAGAAAGACTCGGTTCTCAAGATAAGTAGGACCGCTCGCACGTGCTCCAAATGTTCCTCCACCGAACGACTATAGATGAGTATATCGTCGAAATAAACGACGACACACCGCCCGATAAGATCCCGCAACGTCTGGTTCATGATGCGCATAAACGTGCTCGGCGCGTTGGAAAGACCAAACGGCATGACCATCCACTCAAAGATCCCCTCACGGATTTTGAAGGCCGTCTTCCATTCATCCCCGGGACTAATCCGAATTTGATGATAGCCGCTACGAAGGTCCAATTTGGTAAAGACAGTGGCACCGTACAGCTGATCCAGCAAATCATCCAAACGAGGAATAGGAAAACGATACCTGACAGTGATCTTGTTGATGGCTCGACAATCAACGCACATGCGCCATGCCCCATCCTTCTTCAGAATCAATAAGGCCGGAATGGCACACGGGCTATAAGGCTCCTACGAACAACCCCACGTTGTAACAGCTCTTCAACCTGCTGGCGAAGCTCTTCGTGTTCCACCGGGCTCATCCGATAATGCGGCCTATTGGGAAGTGAGGCCCCCGAAACTAAGTCTATATGATGCTGAATATCCCGTAATGGAGGCAGGCCGGTAGGAAGATCGACAGGAAAAACGTCCGCAAACTCGGACAACAGTGGCTGCATGATGGTTGGTGGCTCGTGCTCAACGGACCTGTCAGAGCCCACAAGTAAAAGGACCACCTGGGCCGACCGCATTTCCTCTACAAAAGCCGCCCTCGACAGAAAAAGAACATTCGAAGAACTAGTAACCGGCATGGGACGAGAAGGAGCAGGATGTAAGACAATCCTGGTACCTCCAAATGTGAAATTGTATGTATTAAACCTGCCGTCGTGAGTTGCTGCCAGATCATACTGCCACGGCCTGCCCAATAACACGTGACACGCATCCATAGGAACCACGTCGCACCATACTTTATCCCTATAATTCGCCCCAATGGGCAAGGATAGTAAGACCCAACGATCAACCGTAATAGCATTACCTCGCTGGATCTATGCCAATGTATAGGGCTGGGGATGAGGCTCGCTCGAGAGACGTAATTTGTCAATGGCCTCTTCTGCAACCATGTTTTCACAAGAGCCCGAGAGCTTTGAGAGTCAGCAACCAAAGAGAAGAAGGAGCTCACACTTACTTAAAACGACACACCTTGTCACCGATAGTGCATGTCGACTCGAAGATATGGTGTCGCTCCTTCGTCTCATCACCTGTCGACCGTGGTGTCAAACACGAGCGACGAATCACAAGGGCCGTCCCAACATCTCCCATATGATGCTCCTCGTGCAGTCCTGACTCAACATCATAAACTGGCGGTCCGTCATACTCCGCGTTCTCTTCTATATCACCGCGATCGTCAATGAATAACCCACGAGAGCCTGAGCCGCGAGGACAAGCCACCTGACGATGACCCACCTCCCCGCAGCCAAAACATCGCATGCCCGTACCTACACGCTGCCCCACCGCCGACGGCAGAACTCCCTCGCCACCCGCCCGCGCCTGACCGCCGGTCGGTCCCGTGAGATGGCCTGCCCCGATCTGCCCCGCTCCGGTACCCGCCGATGGACTCGCTCGACCGGGCTGCAACATGCCACTACCACCCGGGCCTGCACGCGTGGACGATGAAAATGTCGGGCCAGCTTTTCGGGCTAGTTGTTGCTCTGCGAGCCGGGCTCGTTGGTGCGCGTCTGATAACGATTCTGGCCGAACAAAATTAAGCATGTCCTGAATGGCCACACGCAAACCTCCCACATAACGAGCAATCAATTGATCTTTTGTTTCCCGCAACTCCACACGAGTCAAAAGGCGATGGAAGTCATCAGTATAGTCGTCCACCGAACGCGACTCCTGCCTCAAGTTCTGAAGTTGTTGGTAAATGAGACTGTCATAGTTGAACGGCAAAAACTCACGCTCTACACATTCCCGAAATTTGACCCAGGAAGAAATCGGTGCTTTCCCCTGACAATGCCGCACGCTCGTAAGTTGCATCCACCATGCTGCAGCGCGCCCGCGAAACCTCGTGGCTACAAGATCAACACGCCGGTCCTCGGGCACCACCTTAAACCTGAGCACGGCCTCCACTGCTGCCCACCAATCCAGGAATTCATCACCTTGTACCCCGCCATGAAACTCGGGAATGTCCACTCGAAACCCCATATCCCAACGCGACGCAGCGCCCCCTTCTATCGGACGCATGCCCTTCTGCCGGTTCCTCCAACCCCCAGCCTGACCATGTCGCTCGCCGAAACCCCGGGCCTGCTGGAAATCGTCATCGAAATCCGCCCTAGCTCTGTCACGCTGCCACACGTCATCCTCCACCCTGCGCCCATCGCGACTGAATCGCTCCTCATCCTCCGACCCCGCGCCGTCACGCCAGAAGAAACCCTCACCATTGGCCCTCTGTCGACCGCGCCCCAGGTCCTCGTCACGCCTGCGAAAATTGCCATGTTGAAACCCTTCATCGTCACGTCGTCCGTCACGTGCCCTTCGCCGGTGCGGTCCATCATCCCCGCCGCGACCTAGGTCTGCTTCGGCGATCGAATTGTCGATTGAAAGCGTCTCGTCATCTGATTCATCACCACCGAGCGGCGGAGATGGCGGTCGTTGGTGGGGCGCCCCGCCAAATCCCTGACCTCCACGACCACCGCGAAGCCCGCCGTGTGAGCCCCGGCCAGCCGCGCCACGGTTCGTATGTACCTCGGTCATCAAAGTTCGCATCGCGTCATGCAAGTCATCGATCCCCGTTGAGATATCCGTGAATCTGTCGTCAATTCCATTGAAACGTTCATCCACCCGTTGGAAACGTTCATCAATGGCGTTGTCGATTACGGTGTTTCTTTTCGGCGGCATCGTTGATCGTTACTGGTCTGTTGATACCAACTGATGTAGAGCGTATGTATGAACGGGATAGAACACGATCAATTCTCAAGAGAAATCTCAAATTTTATAAAATCAAGTCTGCCCTCTCCAAAGAGAAGACGATTATTCATATACATCAGATTATTGCCCTACTGCAAAAGCCCATTAACAAAAGGCCCAACAACTGAAAAAAATAGTAATAGCCCAACACTAAATAAAAGACTGAAAACGACACTTGAACACGCTAGATACGAAGACGGTCATATTTATTTAAAAATGCTATCGCGGTCTCGTCTCCATCAGATAGTTAATTATTGTTTACTCACTTGTGGAAGTCATGTTACAATTATTTTGGAAAGTGCATCCATTTTTCATCAGTAATATAAAAAAGTAAAAAACGTGTGCAGTGAACACCAAAGATAATTCAAAAAAACATGTTTGAGCTTAAGTGGCAGACTCTCACGCTTCGGATGCTGACATGGCCAAAATATATGTTTTTCGTAATGTTGTTTATATATTCTTTTTTGCTCTGGAGTTAGGCTTGGTATTAGACATAAATAACTTTTTTCAAACTTAGTAAGTGTATATTTAATTTTGTTATTTTTTTTCTCTTAGTACACATTTTATTCTTAGTTTAGACAAGTGGCAATCTTAACATATTATATTTTTCTCTCATATTTATCTTCTAAATTATGATTTACAAATCACCTTCTGCACCGTTTATTCTTTTTTTTTTTCATCAATTAGTCCATCAAAACTTGCAAATAAAAAATTTATTTTAGCAATAACTTTTATCATATATTTTCTTAACTCAACACCCGTGTAGTACACGAGTATTGCAGTAGTTATTATTTATTACTAGTACGTAGCACGTGCGATGCACGAGGAACAATATTATAATTGTATTATAAATTAAATTTATAAATAACATTAATCATGATTTATCTATTGTCTTCAAACTGGACCAGACCGAACAGTCTGACCATACGGACTGAGAACCAGTTTATCGACTAGTTCAGTTTGCTTGAATAAAATGTTTGCTAGAGAACCGGTCAACACCAATCGGTCAGACTGTTAGTATCACTACAATTTTTTACATAAATTTTGTTACATTTAAAACTATTTTTAATATAAACCAAAGTACATATTTAATAAAAATGGATATTTATAGATTACTTATCACTTAGTTTAAAGATTGCAAATTTTTAAATTATTCGTATATTTAATTAATATTTTTAATTAAAATATTATAAAAATTACTTAATTAATTGTAATATAATATGTATAAGTACTTATTATAAAAAGTAATATATAAATAAATTAATTGTGAAAAATTAACATTTACCATTACTTAATTCTTAATTAATTTATTTTTTTAATGAGCAAAGATAAACACAAACTTTCTAAACATCATGATGATTTTATATGTAATTAAAATATTACAAATATTCGATTTAGGATATTAACGTAAATGAATAATTTCATAGTTTGAGATTTATTGTGGAAAACATAATACCAAAAATTGTTTTCGTACATTTTTAAACATATTTGCATCTTTGAAATAGATTTGTTGACACATAATTGTTTTCAAATAATTTGACACAAAATTGTTTCAAAAAGTTGACAATATTTTGGCCCACAATTTTAAAAATTAAAGTGCACTATAAGAAGTCAAAAAGGTAGGACAATATTTAAGCATAAATTTTTGAAAGCTAAAATAAAAAAAATTAAAAAAATTGACCTGTTCCAAAAAGTATTTAATAAATTGAAAAACTGATTTAAGTGGAACTGAATAAGATTAACAGTAGATACTCATTTGTTAGTTTAAGTGGAGTACATAAAATGAGATAATGTTAGTTTTGAGATTTTGCGTTTTTTAAGGAAAAAAATCTGCAAAAAATTGCGATAAAGAATATTGAATATTGTTATAAATATTTTGTATGGTATGGTGGTTAAACCCACCATCACCAATAATATATTTTATTATTAAATAATGTATGTGAATGACTATTTTGCCCTTGATGTAATTGCATTATTACGATTGTGTCATCAGAAGTTTTTCTATAATAGGAGCTTCAGTTATAATGAAAATACAACCAAGAGAAAACATTCTCTATATTCTCTCTATTTCTCTCTTGTTTTATAACACGTTATCAGCACGATCTTATGTCACCACCAATTCGTACCTTTATGAGCCTATATTATAAACTAGGTTTGCTATGATATTATACTCCGTCAAATTTTTAATACCTAGAGACCATTATGGGGGATCAATGTATTATTTGGTACGTGTTTTGCATAATATATTAAATGATTTCACGGCATTAGGGGGAGATATGAGCATAAATGTCGTGAAATATGTGAAATATTAATGTTTTCATTATTTGAAACCACGCAATAAAATTTGAACTTGAAGTTCATATTATATTTCTGCCAAACGAAATTTATAGTAATAATGGGGTGAACAATTTATTTATATAAATGTACCACAAAGTAAGCAAATTCTCTAGAGAATGATTGACTCCTTAATGCTAGAAGCATAAGGTGATATAATTAATATATGATGTGTGAAAGTCCGCAAAAAATTTATATTCAAGAATTAACACTCTTTTATAAGAAACTCCTAAAGAATTAATCCAGTACATCTTGCACGTGCATCAAACCATTATAGTACTGGAAATACGGAACAGCCAAAATTAAATATTAAAGGAAATGATTATAAATATGGCTAGGAAATATGGAGTTGTACATATGGTTGAGAGAATAAAAATTAAATATCATAGTTGTTGACAACATAATTGCCTATTTGATTTCTTTACTATCTCAAATAATGATCCGAATCAAAATAATGAAAGTGCTAGAAGCGTGTAGGTTGATTGAGATAGAAAGGAAAATAAAGGCAGAACTTCCGCTCGCTACACGGTATCCCAGAAGGATAGCATGTCCCAGAAGGATAATGAATGTTTATATGAAAGATGTGATATGGTGGTGTGATGTAAATATAGCGAGATTATGCTCATGGGTTTACGCAGAGACCCATTTTTTATAAAAAATTCTCTCATTAACAATTATACCGCAAGTTAATATTTATGGCAACAACGTTACCATGACTATTGAGTCATATGTGAAAGTCCTGAATGGACTAGAGTACCCGAGATGAAAGATAATTAAATAATAAATCATTTAATTATATAAAATTGTTGGTAAAATATGGTACAACCAACAAAATTCTTCCTGAAGAAGTAAAGTAAGAAATTCAATGTAGAACCTTGTGTATAATGATAATATACAAAATGATCATCTCGGTTAAATAGATTATGTGGTGAACACTATATAAAAGATTAGCTCATGCTTATAGACGGAGTTAGAATACAACTCTTGGTTAAATACCAAAGAATATTATCTCGACTTGTAGATCGAGTATCTACTAGAAGAAGTATATTTGACCCAACCAATCTAAATGAATCTTTTTTTAGAGATGTAAAATTATAACACCAATTAGTGTCAAATATTTAGAATTTGACAAATATTTATAAAGATCCAAAGAAACTTATCTTTTGTGATATGAGATGTTTTGTTCTCGATTGGTGTAAAATTATTACTAACTAAATATTTGTAAATCGATATTTGATCAATCTGAGTATGAAAGGGGGTATGATATATATGGGCCCACTACCTCTCCATATGTGCTATTAGATATTATGGATGCACTAGATAGGCACATGAGTATGTGATTCATAACCTGAAGTTACGAGATGTTTTGATCAATGAATATGATATGACACGTAACCTGAAGTTTTGAGATGATTATGAAATAATAAAAAATAAGTGTCATATGAAAGTGATAAAACTAATAATATACTCAACTGATATGATGAATACTTGAAAGAAAAATGTGCATATTACAAGTGATATGAGTTCAAAGTTCTCATATTATATATTGAAATCGAGAACGAAACGGAGACTATATGAACTCCCCTCAAGAAATTCAAAATACAAATCAGGGATTTGTTAAGATGAGGGGAGATTCAATGATTGAAATTTGTAAATGATACATTTATCACACTAGGAGTGTGCAAATAAAATGAAGGATACTGATGGTGGTAAAATATATGAAATAATATGATGGTGGAATAATACGCTGGAAGCATTGGTATTAGTATCGTACAAATTATGAAAATATTATTATATGGAATACGCGTTGTACTATTTTTTCCTTGCCTGAGGTTTTGTCCCATTGGGTTTTACCAGCAAGGTTTTTAATGAGGCAACATAGATGGCGTATTCACATGAATAGTGTGCTCTTTTTTCTTAATTAGGATTTTGTCCCATTGGGTTTTACCTAATAAGGTTTTAACGAGGCATATTCATGGTATAATGAGGACTACCTGAAAATTGATATAATTCCTCATGATGATAAGAAAACACTGGAGTAGCTGTACTCTTTTTCCTTCGATCAATTTTTTTTTTTTCACTGGGTTTTCTTGACAAGGTTTTAATGAGGCAGCAAGTGGATACTCCACTAAAGATGATTTATTTGAGGGGGAGCAATATTATGATTTCACAATGCTCAGGTTTTGTCCCATCGGGTTTTTCCTGACATAATGAAGCAACGATATCTGATGGACACAAGATACAATTCAAGATGTTCAGATTGAACTTTGCCCAAATTAGTTAAATTTTTTTAGAAAATAGTCATTCAAGGGGGAGTGTTATAAATATTTTGTATGGTATGGTGGTTAAACTCACCATCACCAATAATATATTTTATTATTAAATAATATATGTGAATGACTATTTTGTCCTTGATGTAATTGTATTATAACGATTGTGCCATCAGAAGTTTTCCTATAAATAGGAGCTTCAGTTATAATGAAAATACAACTAAGAGAAAACATTCTCTATATTCTCTCTATTTCTCTCTTGTTTTATAACAAATATGATTTGGTGGACAATTCAAAAATTAAGATGAACCACTTAATTTTTCGAAATTCAATAAATGCGCGTGGTTTTTTTTTTTTCCCGAAACGATAGAAATACTATAAAAGCACAAAAGTGCAACGAGTACAAATTACACGACCCCAAAAGGGTAATATCTACGACCCCAACAGGGTAATGAGACAGGGGCCAACGGCCCAAACCAAAAACACTCCTAGAAAGGAACAGGAATAGCAAACTGAGAGGACACGCACATGGCGGCCTAGAGAACTCAACAACCGAAAATAAAGGAGAATAAATAACAGAGCCACTGCACAATGCCTAGCCTGTATTCATTTCCAAAACAAAGACAACCAAACACACAGAACAAAGAAAACGACAAACAAACCAAAAGTAATACACATGACGAACACACTAAACAAAATAAAATAAAACCGACCCTCTCCCGGAGAGACAACTAAGCCGAAGAAGCAGCTACAACTGACCACAGGAAAGGTCCCTAGCCAAGCCCGAGCCCCCGAAACTGCCGCAGGCCTAACAAGAGGCAGGGCCCCGCCCCCGAACCCAACCAACGGACAGCACCCACAGACCGAGGAGAACAGGCCCACAGCAACCCGAATAAGGCTAACACCACTAGCCCTGGCCGAGAATACCGGATCCCACACAACCCAAAATGAGCTGCACCAAGATAGCGGCTACCTGCCCGAACTCCAACTCCGGCGACTACCACTTGACACACACAGCAGCCACCAAAGCCCCACCCAACCACCGTCGACCATCATCCACAGCCCCAGCCAAACAAACACCCTCTCGCCACCTCTGCCACTACCCAGCCGGAGCCGAACCCCAGCTAATCGACCCAATCCCACACCAATACTCGGAACCACTAAACCCAAACGGGCCAAATTAAGCCCATTCAGACGACCCCATCGGAGAAGTCTCGGAGCCCCAATTGAACCCTAACCCCCAAACTCTCCAAAAACCAATTCCTCCAGCCTAAACCAGAGCAAGAGAGAGAGAGAACTTACCGACACTCCCAATCGCAACAAGCAGCAACTCAGACACCGCCGGATGACGATCGGAACCGCCGCTGTTCTCCACCCACCACCAGACGAGAGACGAGAGAGGTTGCTATGGCTACAGATCAAGGAAAATCGTCGGCAAGGGAAGATGGGCGGCCAGCGACGGCCGCAGAGACGGCGTCGCCGTCGCCGGAAGAGGTCAAAACGGAGCGATTAGGTTGAAGGCCGAGAGAATTTTCGTCGGAGAGGAGCAGAGAGAATTTTCGTCAGTTAGAAAGAGCTTCTTCCTAATGCGCGTGGTTTTCAAAATTCTTTCTTCTAATAGTATGTCAACTGGGAGTGTGCTTGTTTGGTGTGACATTGTGGAAATTATGGTAATGGCAAAATATATCTATTTTCCAAAGTCAGGAAAAGGATGCGGCAGATAAAGTTCAGGAGATCACAAAATTTGTTAATGGAGTTCTACAATTCGCGAAGAACTATAAGAAACTTGGAGGCACTGGTGTCTCCCGAAACCGGTGTTTTCTACGTTGGGTGGCTCCACCGACTGATTGGGCGAAAGTGAATTCGGACGGGGCTTTTCATAAATCCTCGGGTATGGCTTCGACTGGAGGGTTGATTCGTGACACTCATCGAAAATAGTTAGGAGGTTTCATGAGAAATATCGGGATGTGCTCTATTATGGGGGCGGAATTATGGGGATTATTTCACGGTCTTAGTATGGCTTGGGATATGGGATACCGTCAGGTTGAGGCGGAAGTGGACAATGCGATCATAGTGGGTTTTGCGAACAATACGGAAGACTTAAGGGGTGTTCACTCTGGTTTGGTTCTTGGAGTACGAGAACTACTTATTCGAGACTAGCGGGTCAAGATCTCTCATATCTTTCGCAAGACGAATTTCGCGGCTGACTTTTTGGCGTCTCTGGCGGCATCTCCTTTCGGTCTCCAACTATTTTCAACTCCATCGTCTGGTGTTGTCCCACGACTAGAGCACGACGTTATGGGTGTCTCTTATCCAAGACATATTTATTCTTAATGTTGCTTAGCGATAACCTC